TATATATATATTTTTTTTTTTTTCTACCATGAAACCTATATATATATATATATATATGCAGGCATTATTATTTTTTTACGTTTTGGAATCGTCTACCGCTTCCTTCCAATATATATGCCCATTCATCTTCTCGCTCTCTCTCTGTCTACTTAGAACGGGTTGGGAGGAAATTGGAGCTCGGCGATAAATCTGTTGGCAATCGATCCGTCTCTTCGGTGAAATCAGGCTTAATTCTTTCCCTCGGACTCAAGAGAGAGTCGGCTGCTCTCTTCATTCGTGTGGTACATTTTGATCGTGAGTGTTTCTTGTTCTTCCCTGTCGACCGTTTATGTTGTAGATCACGAGATTCTTGAGTTTATTTCTCGCATCTTTTTCATCTATGTAGGGATCCGTGCGGTTTTTAATCGTTCTCTGAGTCTTGCTCTGTTTATCCTTTATTTTATTTTTTCCGGATTCTAGAAATTTTTTGAAGACAACGCGTTTTTATATTGATTTTTTTTTTTTTTTTTGTGAAATTGATTTTGAATTGGGGATTGGAAAGGGAGAGTAGGTTTTTCTCAGATTTGTTGGGAAAATGAGATAGAAATTTGATTGCGGTATGCTTGATCTTGAAAAGAGAAGTCTCCTTTCTGTTTTGTTTATCTGAAGTTCATGGATTTATCCTTTATCTGCAGTTGGAACTCTTTTTTAGAATTCATGCATTCATCGACATTGTTAATCAATGAATTTTAAAAAAATTACTTAAAATAAAATTGAATTAGATCCACAAACCTGCCAATCTCTTCCCCTCTCCCGGTTTCGTCGGACCTATCGTCTTAGTGACCGAGCCCTCGTGATACAGTTGCGATTTGATCTAGCTGGGAAGGCCACGACGAGATCTTGGCGTACAGAGACCACCGAAACTCACATCTTTCTCCTCCTTCCGCTCCGCTTCTACCCGAAACCATTGAGGAAGATCACCCTCGTCTTTGCGTTCCAGGTTAAATCCTGCTCTAAATCCGCCTAACAGTTGGATTTAGTAACCGTCTGGAAAGATTTAGTTTAAATCCAAGTTAAATCCTGCTCAAAATCCGTTACCAGACAGCCCCTTAGTATGATTTCATTCATGTTTCTCTTAAATACAAAATGTGTTAGGGGCGCAGTGGATCTCAATGAGCTTGTTCTATTCATGTCTTCAGATGAATCCATTGTTACTTTTGCAACAGTTTTGAAATGAAATTAGACTTTTGTTATACAACTTTAACGCTTTCTTTTTTTCTTGTTCAGTGCTTACTGGTTTGATACGATTTCATTCAAGATAAACATTTGAGATGCCACAAACATTTGGTTATATTATAAGAAATTCCACCAACATTTTTTCTAGATTCTGGTTATATATCTATTCGGAATCAGTTTGTTGGATCCTCTGAAAGACCTTTTTGATAATTAAGGTAGGGAACACTAGGATTCATTTGACTACATGTTTTTTCAATGGAGCTTTTATTGGTTGGGGAGGTGCTCGCATATTGATAGAAAACCAGTCGGATATCTAGCATATTGATAGAAAACCAGTTGGATATCCAAAAAATAATCTAGGATAAATTTCTTGTGCGCTTGATGAATATTGTATATCATAATGCAAGTGAATTTGTTTTTTAAGAAAAAAAAATGATGCATTTTCAGTTGAAAGCATCATGCAACAGTCCATTTCTTCAGCATATTTGATCAATCACCTCATGCTCAGAAAAGTTAAAAATATTATTTTGTTCTACATTTTTATCATTCATCTTCTCTTAATTTATAATTCTTTTGGTTTATTTGGATTAGTAATCATGTACACGAGATATGCAAAAGATGAAAACCAGATCAACACATAAGATTCCATTTCTATATCAAAATGGCTCATTTGGGATTTTTTAGATAGCAATAATGTTTTAAAAAAAGGCATTTCTTTTCACGTGTTTTATTTGAGACAAAAATAGCTTTATTTTTTACTTTACAGTGTATGTAAATCCCCACCTTTTTTTTTTCTCAAAAAACAAAAATTTCTATTTCTATTCTGCATTTTCATTCTCTAAATCTAAAATTTCTTTGCAGGAGTTTGGTTCCGCACTCTGAGTTTGAAATACTTGGATCTAATTCAGCAACCAGAAAGCAATGGAATCCTATAAGCCTAAAAGCATCCTCATTACCGGAGCTGCTGGTTTCATCGCATCACATGTTGCTAACAGGCTCATCCGCAACTACCCCGATTACAAAATTGTGGTCCTCGACAAACTCGACTACTGCTCCAACCTTAAAAACCTTTCCCCTTCTGGATATTCCCCCAACTTGAAGTTTGTTAAGGGTGACATCGCCAGTGCTGATCTTCTCCACTACCTTCTCATCACGGAGTCCATCGACACAATAATGCACTTCGCTGCTCAAACTCACGTCGACAATTCTTTTGGCAACTCCTTTGAGTTCACTAAAAACAACATCTATGGAACTCATGTTCTGCTTGAGGCATGCAAGGTCTCCGGTCAAATAAGGAGATTTATCCATGTCAGTACAGACGAAGTTTATGGGGAAACCGATGAGAATGCAATTGTTGGCAACCATGAAGCCTCTCAGCTCCTCCCTACGAACCCGTATTCTGCCACCAAAGCCGGAGCTGAAATGCTTGTGATGGCTTATGGAAGGTCCTATGGCTTACCCGTCATAACCACTCGTGGTAACAATGTCTACGGACCAAATCAATTTCCGGAAAAGTTGATTCCAAAGTTTATCCTTCAAGTTCATGCTTCTAGCAATGAGAGGACAAATCCTTCCGATTCATGGAGACGGTTCGAACGTTCGAAGCTACCTCTATTGTGAGGACGTTGCCGAGGCTTTTGAGGTTATTCTTCATAGAGGGGAGATCGGCCATGTTTATAATATTGGGACAAAGAAAGAGAGGAGGGTGATTGATGTAGCAAAAGATATCTGTAAGCTTTTCGCGCGGGATACCACCACTGCAATTAAGTTCGTCGACAACAGGCCATTTAATGACCAAAGATACTTTTTAGATGATCAGAAGCTAAAAATTTTGGGTTGGTCAGAAAGAACTACTTGGGAAGAGGGTCTGAAAAAGACTATGGATTGGTACACAAACAATCCAGATTGGTGGGGAGATGTCTCAGGAGCGCTTTTACCACATCCAAGAATGCTAATGATGCCGGGCACTGAAAGACATTCTGATGGCCCTGAAGTGATAATAAAGAGCATGTTGTCTCCGCCAAACAATATTAACATTCCAAGCCAATTGATAACACCACCTGTCTCAAAAACCTCATCTTTTGGTATCAAAACACAGTTTTTGAAGTTTTTGATATACGGCAAAACCGGATGGATCGGCGGACTTCTCGGGAAGATATGTGAGAAGCAATTGATACCGTTCGAGTACGGAAAAGGTAGATTAGAAGATCGATCCCAGCTCCAATCGGATATTCATAATGTGAAGCCGACACATGTTTTCAA